AAAGTAACAGGTACAACATTGTTACATGATTTATATATTGCCAACCCAACCGTTGGATTATATTCCTAACACAGATATTAGGTGGGGATTTGATTTTGTGTAAACTCCTCAAAGATATTGCTGACAGATGTTGCTGTTTTTATTTTATTTTTTCCAGTTTGGGCTGCCAGTAGGCACCTGGCCCTTCTGCTTATCTTCGCTCACTTTCCTGCTCTTAAGCACCACCAACGAGGCCATCTTCAAGCTGCCTCTCTCCAAAGTCACCTATCCAGAAGCCAACCGGGCGTACTATGTGGAGAGAAAGAAACAGTGTTCTGAAGAATCCGTTTGCGACAAAGTGTAAGCGAGCAAACAGAAGAATCGGTCTTCCAACTTACAGAGTCTTCCCACGGAAGAGCAGAAGAAAAACCCCTAGTTTTCAGTGGACCGTTTGTTTTTCTCGATTGTAGATGCCTCCACTTGGATCAGTCAAGTTCAACGTTCAAGGTTCAGGAGTGAATGTATTCATCTGGGAAGGAACGTAATATAAGTGGGACAATTCAGTTTAAACCAGGGGTGTCCAAACGTAGCAACTTTAAAACTTGTGGACCTCAATTCCCAGAATTTTTCAGCCTTGTTGTTTTTTAAAAAGTCATAAAATCAGACATGACTCACTGAAGAGCTGATGTGGCCCAGTGGTTGGAGTGCAGTACTGCAGGCTACTTCTGCTTACTGCCGGCTGACTGCAGTTCGGTAGTTCAAATCTCACCAGGCTGACTCAGCCTTCCATCCTTCCGAGGTCGGTAAAATGAGGACCCAAATTGTTGGGGGCAACAGGCTGACTCTGTAAACCGCTTAGAGAGGGCTGTATAAGCTCTATGAAGCGGTATATATGTCTAAATGCTATTGCTGCTGCTATTAAGAACGGGCCTTGCTTAGCAATGGAAATTCCGGTATCAATTATCATCTTAAGTCAAACTTGTAAAGAAGAGAAATTATTATTATTATTATTATTTGCAAACTTAGCTGTTACTTGCAAGTTATGAGCACTTTAACGAATGAGTGAATACCTTATTTGGCCAAGTGTGATTAGACACACAATATTCTCTGTATGCAAATATTCAGGAAACCAATTGTTACAAGATACCTTTACAGCATCCTCTAATTCCTAGCAACACAGAGAGTCGTGAGAGATCAGTGCTAGAGCAAAATTTATACTAAGAAGTCTTTGCAGATATATCAATGCGTTCCCAATTTATTAACCCAAATGTATATCTGCACAATGAAGACATAATCAATCTAGACATGATGGTGTGTCCGTTCCTTTTGTAAGCAACATGAGAAACGCTTGGGAAGATGAGTGATAACATGGCCAGTTCTTCTCCCAGCTTCTGTAAGTTGTCCCAAAAGGAAGGATCAGACAAGAAGGTGACAATGATGAGGTGGAATCAGGGGTGGGTTCCTGCCAGTTCTAATCTCTTCTATAGAAGAGGTTCCACAAATCTACTGTGCCGTTTAGAACCGGTTCCAGCTCCCCCGCCCCCTCTGCCCGTCCGCACATCATCAAGATGAAGAGCGAGAGGAGGAATTCTGGGAGTTGAAGTCCACAAGTCTTAGAGCTGCCAAGTTTAAACATCCCTGGGGGTTTTTTTCTAAAGGGTTGGGGTGCAAGAGTCTTGTAACTTGACAGCATTAAGACTTGCGTCTTCAAATGCCAGTTTCTGAGCTAACATTTTGGTTGCTAAGCAAGAGCGTTGTTAAGTGAGCTTCACCACATTTTACAAGTTCGCCACGCCCACTCAGTCACATGGTGGTAAGCCCACACCCACAAAGCAGGCCACACCTACGGAAGAGGGTCTAAAAAATTTTGAAACCCACCACTGGGTGGAATGATCAAATTAGGACATTCTCATCAGAAGCAGGGGAATCTCTGCAATAGAAGAGAATGTTTGCAGTTTAGGATGGAACTGTGAGGTCCTTGGTGCTTTCTTAACTTGGTTTTTTCCTTGCAGACATTTCAATACCCAACTAGGTAATATCATCAAAATGCTAGAAGGGAGCGGGGCTTGCTCTAGTTTTAAAGACTAGTGTAATGTTGGTGAACCTTTTCAGCACCGAATGCCAAAACGGGGGCAGATGGACACACACACACACGCGTGAGCCGGAAATGGAAGAGCAGCCGCCCAGTGCATATGCGCATGCCGGGAAGATGATCTTCCAGTTTCTGGCCCGCGCATGCGCATCAGCCACCTGGTCTCCTGCTTTCTGGCAGGCATTTGCAGGTGAAGACCACCTGGCCGGTGTGCATGCATGCCCCAGAAACTGGAAGATCATGTTCCCAGTGTGCCCATGCGCGCCGGCTGGCAGTTCTTCTGGTTTCTGGCGCTCCCACAGGCGTGAAGACCAGCTGGCCGGCGTGCTAGAACCCAGAAGACCAATGGGTAACGGCTTGCGTGCCCGGAGAGATGGCTCTGCATGTCACTTCCGGCATGTGTGCCATAGGTTTGCCATCACGGGACTAGTGGTTTACTCTATCAATTGTACTCCAATCAAGGAGTGATCAACTCAGACAAACAATCAAGCCATAAACAAGGAACCACCAAGAACGTTTCCATCAATATTGGCAGAGCAAACCTCTTGGACATAAAGAGAGAACAAACCCCACTCCCTTCAGCACTGATGATGTTACCTAGTTGGGTCATGAAACATTTGTAAGAAAAATAACCAAGCTCAGACAGCGTCAAAGACCCCCCACAGATCTCTGGAAGTACTAATTATTGGCCGATCCCACGAAACTGACCCCTGATGCTTAGCCCTGATACCTTGTCTCCAAACCGTCCTTTATAAATGAGCTTGAATCATGGTTTGAAGAGCAGAATTCATTGTGGGCCCCTTAGCAATGTAGAGTGGGGGAGAAGCATATTGAACATGGAGAAGGAAAGCCCAAGAGAAGGAACCTTTGGAAGTCCAACCAAATGATCTACAACTCATTGGAGTCATTCTATGAGACCAGCAGCCGGAGAAGTCCTTATAAGTCCTGTAAATAAACTCACCCAACATGTATATATATTGTAGATAAACTCAATCAATGTTATATATTGTGATTTACTGTGTTTACTACAAGTGTAATGAATCTTTTAGGTTTTTGTATTTTTCTGAAAGTCAAATAAACTACTAAAATACATGAACTAAAGCAGTTTTTTTTCTTTTTTTACGAACTGCTTGTCCTTCATCCTTCTACATCAGGAGTCACCAACCTTTCGGACTTCAGGGACCACTAAATGTATAATTTTAAATCTTGCGGTATGGATTTTTTTTAAAAAAATGATAAATAGTAATTCAGTGCAATATAAAAAATGCGAATATTTTTTTTGCGGACCACCAAAATTTTCTCGCGGAACAACAGTGAACTTCCCAGCCGGCTTCCCAAAAAGCAAAGTCATTGGGGGAAGCTGCATTGCTTAATAACCACAAGATTCACTTAACAACCTTGGCCAAAAAAAGGCATAACATTTGGCCTAACTCGCTTAATAACCATCTTACTTAACAACAGAGATTCTGCTCCCCAATTGTGGTCATATATGTCAAGCACTCCCTGTATTCACAGAAAGCTGGACTGTTAATCAAATCCCAATGCTTTGTTGTGAAAGGAAGAACTAGAGTCAGATGTAAATACTTTTTCAGCCATGCAAGAGTGTGAATCTTATAGCAATATTATTGTAACCACTATGAATAAGAGAATAGCAGAGTTGGAAGGGACCTTGGACGTCTTCTAATCCAATCCCTGCTCAAGCAGGAAACGCTATAATATTCCGGACAAATGGCTGTCAAATCTCTTCCTTAAAAATCTCCAGTTTTTAACAATTTCTGGAGGCAAGCTGTTCCACTGGCCGATAGATCTTACTGTTAGGAAATTTCTTCTTAGTTCTAAATTGCTTCTCTCCTTGATTAGTTTCCACCCATTGCTTCTTGTCCTGCCCTCAG